AGGTATTCTTTTTTTTATTCATCCCAGCGTGCCACTAAGGTTCTGCATGGAGGTTCCAAATATCACCAGCAGCGCTGCCCCCATCCCTGGGCTTCACTCTTCCTCTGGGCTGTACTGCAGAACCGCAGTGAGATGGCCCTTTTCTTCTGGGAGATGGTATAGGCTCTGAGACAAACTTCAAGAAGTATTTTCCTTGGGGGGGGGGGGGGAATCATTTTTGAGCCCCCTGCTGAAGTTGTAAATTTGTTCACTTCCCAAAAAAATTAACAGTCTTTACTTTTTAGGGTACCGCATTTTTGGTGCTAAAAGGCGCACTTACAATCCCTTAATTTTCTCAAAAATCGGTAGTGTGCCCTGTAATCCACTGCGCCTTATGTATGAATTCTGGTTGTTCTTACTGACCTTGAACCAATTTTATGTGGCACACAGTGCTCAAAAATCTGTCAAAAATGTTTTAGTGCGACTTAATGGATTGTCAGAACATTATGGCTACTGTAGTCAGGAGCCTCGTGGAGTAATCTGGGTTCAAACTCCGCTTCAGGTCCCAAAGTCAAACAAACACTGCAGCATCACTGAGAGTTAAAAACTGTCTAAATTCTTTCATGTTTAATAAAATTATCAGTGTTGCTGCTTTAACAATTAAGTTTAACATTCAGACATCCATTAAAGCAGAAATTATTAAATTTAACGGAGTTAGCAATTAGCAGGAGGTTAGCTCGCTAGTTTCCACCTAAACATGATATACCATGTTCTGACTTAGACAGCTATGTTAGCATAACATAAACCCAGCGAAGCTGGAGGAAGAACGCTAACTTTTTTCCACTCGATAAAAGTTAACATGAGGGTTCACGATGGCTAGGGACAAATGCAATCACATGGCAGGATGCTGTAAATGGACCAAACTTCAGGCAGGAGAACAACTGAGATAATCAAGTTAGTTATCAATATACTGCTGCATGGGCTGGGCTGTAATTAGATCTTGAGGTTTTAAAAACTGAGCTTTAAAATTATTAGCGGTAATAAAATAAAATTTGTCCCGAACCTTCGGGAACCCTAACGTTAACTTTTATTGAGTGGAAAAAAGTTAGCGTTCATTCTCCAACTTCACTGTTTATATATACTAACATAGCTGTGTCGCTAGCGTTCACGTAGCACATCATTATATATAGCTAGCCAAACTTCAGAAACCCTACAAATATCACTGGTGTTTACTTTCCTGTCTTCATTTATGTCGGAAATGATAACAGAGATGTACGTCTTAATTTCTTTCAGAAATCCCTCAGTCAGAACCTCGTATATTATATTTAGATGGAAACTAGCGAGCTAACTTCTAACTCCATTAAATTTCATAAATTATGTTTTTGTGGATGCCTGGATGTTAAACTTAATTGTTACACCTGGTAAAGCAGCAACACTGATCATTCTATTAAAGATGAAAGGATTTAGACAGTTTTTAACTCTCAGTGATGCCGCAGTGATCGTTGGACTTAGGGACCTGCAACAGAGTTTGGGATCAGGCACGGCTAATGACGTCAGACTTAAAGACTGGATAGTAACACCTGTTGGTGCCATTATTTTTTTTAAAAAAAACAAAGAAACAAAATGGTTGGTCTGTGTCCTTGGTCTGTGGCTCCATGCAAAATCTACCCTATGGGTTGAAGATGATCATGAAAAGCCTAAAACTACACAGGAGGAGCTTGTTAATAATGTGAAGCCAGTTCGGATTACAATCACCAATAACACTATTGAAAAGATGCTAGGCTATTATGGATTGAACTCTTGCAGCACCTGGAAGGTTCCAGCTCAATAAGGTGCTGTATAGACCTATATTAATTTACCAGGGAACATCTAAATGATTCAGAGAAGGCTTGGAAGAAAGTGCTGCGGTCAGATAAAACCAAAAGCCATCTGATTTGAGCTTTGTTTCGAGGAAGAAAAATGCTGTTTATTGCCCAAAGAACACCATAATTACTAGTGGTTTAACGGATCACGGTTGATCCGAAAACCGAACCGATCCCACTCCACGGTTCGGTACGCACGTGATCCGAAGATTCAAAAAAGAAAAGACAAGTATGTGTATGGTGGCGTGGTGGGTCTATCAATCAGTAGTTATGGCCAGTGCTAGCGGTCCAAGTGGAGGAGTTTGCGGCATTTAAGCAGCCCTTTGCTGCCCAATCCGACCGGGCTAAAGCTATTACAAAAGCTATTGGGGTGTTTAGCTGCAGATGGGAGGCCGTATTCCGTTGTGCAAAACAAGGGGTTTAAACTGTGATGAACGTGTTGATCCACGCTATGATATCCCGTTGCGCGTCCACTTCAGTGTGACAAGATCGTTCCAAGCATGTATGAGCAGGAAAAGTTTAAAGTTATGGCTGAACTGTCCCAGGCATCTTCTGTTGCCCTAACTACAAATGGGTGGACCTCCAGGGCAACGGAAAGCCACGTGACCGTGACCGCTCATTATATCACAGCGGAGTGGTAGATACAAAGCCCTGTACTGCCCTATAGATTACATTAGATTAGATGAAACTTTATTTATCCCTCGGGTGGATTCCTCCGGAAAATTCAGTTTGCACAGCACCGACAGAAGTTGCAGAATATGAGCAGAAATATACCATATATACACATATATAAATACAGAGTATACAAAAGGGATAAATAGAATAAATAGGAATAAGAATACAAGGGAGCGGCATATTTCAAGTATTGTGAGTCTATTACACCGTTGGATATTAACAAAAACTATTGCACAGTGAAAAGGCACTACAGCTTGCTAGTTCCCCCGTCCTTTGTCCCCGTTTCCCCTCCCTCTCCCCTCCAGCGAGTAGTTAAACAGTTTAATGGTGTGTGGGACAAAGGACTTTTTAAGTCTGCTGGTCCTTGACTTTGGGAGAAGCAACCTGTCACTGAACAGACTCCTCTGGTTGTTTATGTCCGTGTGCAGCGGACGGAGAGGATGCCCAGCATGGTCCACAATGTCCATATTGCACCTTAATTTGTTTTTATATAAGTGTGTGGAATGAGTCTTCTGTTGAATGTTTTTTAACAGGCAAAAAGTACTTGAATAAGTAAATGGTGAGTCGAATTTTTGTCTTTTTTTTTTCTATTTTTGCTGATCCGAAAATTGATCTGATCCGTGACTTAAAACCGTGATTCTATCCGAACCTTGAGATTTTTGATCCGTTGCACCACTAATAACCACAGTCGAGCAGAGAGGAGGAAACATTATGCTTTGAGGCTGTTTTGGGGCCCTAAATGACCTCCAGCTGACCACAAACTTCATGAGGGTGGCTCCAACATACTCCAGCACTCTTGGTTGGCAACATGGCTTTTGCCATAGAATACCACTGGTGCCCTGCTTTTCACAGATGAGAGCAGGTGGTCTAAGGAGTCATATTTATGGAGGGATGCACAAACCTCTACAGGCTAGGCAGTAGGGTTGGGCGTTATGTAAAAAATTTCCAACCTACAGTTGTCAATCAAATAATCGACAGTGTGCAATATATTCGCGCATGCACAGACTTTTTGATGGGCGGAGCAATGTAGTCATGCACGGACTGATTTGCGTGATTACAACACAGAAGAAGTCCAAACATGGACAAACTAATTGCTAAAAAAAATATAAAGTCGCCAATTTGGGATTTCTTTGGCTTGACTCCGGATGAAAGAAGTAAACCTAAGGATGTAACCAAAGCGATGTGCTGCTTGTGCAGACATAGTGCGAGCAAAGGACTCAAATACAACTAACTTGCATGAGCATGTACGTGTCCACCATCCAAATGTTTTTTTTTATTTTCTGAACATTGGCTACTGCTTTTCTTTTGGTTATGAGTTTGAGTAAATGAATCTCTGAATTGGGGCGCACACTAAGGAAGATGCATTTGCTCGCAGATGAAAGAGGGGGCTGTTAAAACAGCGCTATTATTATTATATTTTTTTGTTGACTGCTTCCATTAGCTCCATCATTGTTAGCAAACTTACTCATGGGCAAATAAATAAATAAATCGCCCTTGTAAAAACGATCTGAGCCATCGTCGTTAGTCGATATATTCAGCACTTACTGCACTTACTACCTTTTAGGACTGCCACAAATGATTATTTTGATAGTCGACTAGTCACCGATTATTTTTGCGATTAGTCGACTAATTAGATCATGCATCCATTGGACGTGAAACGTACAGCTTATTGCAACAACATGCATCTGCTCTTATATAACTATCATTAGCTCACAGCTTGAAGTTTTAAGGTATGTGCTAACTAAAAATAAAGACAAGTTGATAATTTCTTAAATTTTAATGAAATTTGCAGATTCTCTTGGTGGCGTTTAATAAACTCAGACGTCTGCTCCCTAAAATATAACAGGACATTGGAGTAAATTCACGACCATCTCATACTTCTGTTTAATCAGTTCTCTGTTTGATGTTTATTCAGCTGTGTGAAAACTATAACTTAACTAATCTCAGCCAAACCGATTTACTCAGGAACAAATAAAACACTGAAAAAAGCCAAACAATAACATTTTTAAATTATCTAAGTGACTTATATATCATGTTTAACCTGAGTAGCCAAAGATCGCGGGGGTCTGAAAACGATTTGCCAAGACTTC